GGGGACTCCAGAAGCAACAAGCAACTCCCTCAGCCAACTAGTTACAACAAAAAAGCCAAAAACTAAAATTAAACAAAAACAAAAGCTGGGAAAGCATGGGTAATGCTGCACCCTTTATCTTTTCCTGTCAGAAGATAATAGTCCTTCCTTGGAGGTTCTTAAGCAGACGTTGGATGGCCACCTGTCACGGATGCTTTAGTTTAGATACCTGCATTGCTGGGGGTTGGACTAGATGACCCATGGGGTCCCTTCCAACTCTGCGATTCTACAATTCTAATATGCATGGCAGCACCCAGCAGCTGTTAGCGAATATTCTAAATTGAATGTATTCAGATTATCTTTTGTATTTGTACAGAACTCAGAATGTTTTGAATATGCGTTTTCTGTAGTTTCTATGCTGGTTACTGCCTGAGGCAGGTCACCTGCTGCTCAGGTTGATCTTATTACAGCACTCTGGACTGAAGCAAAAGCCTGTGTGCGATTGTAGCTGAAAACGCTCCAAACCTGTCACTTAATCAGGTGCTGAAAACTTACATGCTGATGTAGCCAGAGAAAGAAATGGAAGATATGGACGAAGAGTCCCAATTTCTTGACCATGAAATATATTCTTAAATTCTGAGCAACTTTTTTTTTTAAAGAAGTATTTTGCTCCTTTTTTATATAGATCAGAGACCATGAATTTGGTAAGCCTGGCATTCCACCGTTCTGTGGTAGAGCGTGCTGCTGCCTGACTTCAGTGCTTCCCCTTATGAATAAAAGCTCATATTATCATGCCTATAACTGACCTTATTTATAAGGATGGTGTGCAGAGGAGTTGATCTGAATGGATGCAGTGCGGCGGAACTGCTTATGTTAATCTAATGAACAGCATTTGTATGGGTGTGTTTCTGTCTAGCTGAATGCTGAAACAATCAATGTACCTGAACTTAGTACGTATGTTTTAAAGCAGTGTTTCCCAACCACTGTTCCGCGGCACACTAGTGTGCCGCGAGATGTTGCCTGGTGTGCCGCGGGAAAAATTAAAAAATTGAAAGATTTTTTTTAAAGTCAAATTTTCGATTGGGGCGCCATCACTAGATGACCCCTGGGGTTCCCTCCCTCCCTCCCGCTCTGCGCCTCCCTCCTCCTCCTCCTCCGGGGAGGCCCTTCCTGGCTCTCGGCCAAGGCTTGGCGGCTGCCACTCACTCACTCGCTTGCCCACCCGTCCCTCCATCCCTGCACCCGGCCTCTTCCCCTCCGTCCCCAGCGCGGGGGCTGCCGGGATCCGTAGTCCCCTCGCCCTTGGGCTCCGCGCCTGCGCGGGGTGCGCAAACTACGTTTCCCAGCGTGGCCTGGCGGGCCGGGCGTTTTGTTTGAAGCGCTCTTCTCCCGGCCATGGAATGAGCGTAGCGGCGGCGGCCGGGCGGGCAGGGGCTCTTCCGCGCAGACCCCGCGCAGCCTGCCTGTGCCCCCGCGGAGATCGGGCGGCAGGATGGAGCCCGGGGATCCCCGCGGAGGCGGAGCGGCGGAGGCGGAGGCTGCCCCCCAGGTAGGGCTGCGTCGGGGGTTTTTTATTTTTGCAATGCTGCATCCGCGCCGGAGGGGATGCATCGGACCGCGGGGAGACCCCTTGGCGGGCGTGCAAGGCAATGCATGCATGCAGGCGTTGCATGGAGTGCAGTGCAATGCAATGGCAACGCGGCGCCCTGCATGCATGCATGCAACTTCCACCGGCGCTCCGGACTTGGCAGGTGAGGGGGGTCCCCAGTGGGCGGCAGAGAGAGCCGGGAGGGCGAAGGGGAGCCGGGGGGGGGAGCAGCGCTGCTCCCCGAGCCGAGCCCGGGGGGAAACTTCGGCGTCGTTGCGCCGGGTGTTGGAAGCGGAGGCTGTCGGGGGCCCCTCACCTGCAAAACCTGGTCGCCTCTCATATATTTCGTGCATTGCATTCATCGCCCGCTTTCTCCTCCAAGGAGCTCCCGGGGGCGCGCGTGGTTCTCCCCGTGTTATCCTCGCAACAACAGCCCTGCGAGGTGGGTCAGGCGAGTGGCCCAAGGGAGCACCCAGGGATTGTCCTGGCCAGGTGGGGTGATTTGAACCCTGCTCTCTGCCCGGTCTTCGTCCTCATTTAGCCCCCACATGTGCATGACTGTGCATGACTGAGGTTTCCCCCCCTCGTCTTGGCTATGGTGTGAGTCTGTGCTGTTAATTAATGGGGTTCTGCCTTCGGAGAAGATGAGCCAGCCCTCAAGGAGGTGATTATGTAATTTGCTAGCAATTCATGTCCCTCCCGGCGTGACGCTGCGCGCTGACGTCACGGGGCTGTAATGGTGGTGTGCCTCGAGATTTTTTTTCATGAAACAAGTGTGCCTTTGCCCAAAAAAGGTTGGGAAACACTGTTTTAAAGCACTTGAACCTGGATCCTAACTTTATTTTTATGAATGAAGCAGAGTGAAAAGTTCTCACAACAGGCTTTCTTCACCCTCCCATCTTTCCACAGTCCCTGTACCTCTGAGAATCTGTTCCTGGGGTTGGGAGGACATTTGGGTGTGATGTTAGACAGGGTGTGGGAGGGCTGCCAATAAAGGCACAAGTTGACACAATTTCCCCACTATTGTGAATGGAAGAACAACTTCCATGCTCTGGATTTAGGACTGATAAGCAAAAATCAAAATTTTAAGTGAAATAGGTTCTGTTTCCTGTAGATGAAATTTGTTAAGGATATCATATCTCTTTGCTGTTAGCAAGGCAGTGAGCTGATGACATATTAACTTAAAGATGAAAGCTAAATAGTTTGCTGCCCCCCTGCTCTATAGTTTACCCTACTTAAATAGTTCAAAATCTGTTGATTTAAGATCTTGTACAAATGAGCTTTTTGGAAATTTGAAAATGCTGCCTTTGTGCAAGCAGAATCCAACACAATGCTTTAAAGTGTCTAAGGTAAGGCGTTTCTGAATCATCTTGAAACATGTGGTTGCAACTTCTACAAGTACTTTCAAGATTGAAACTAGAACACAGGTTAGTGTTTCCATTTTCGTACCTGCAGTTTGCATCATCTCTAGAAAGTAAGCATTTACAGTCCATTTGTAAGGCGTATATTGAAAGCACATGCCTCAAATGTCATGCCACATGTCAGTTTAGTTGAGGTATGGGAGAATCTTGACTTCACTCCCCCCCCCACCTCTTAAGAGGTGCAACATTGGGTTTCCCCATTTCAAAGTAAAACAGCTGTATAGCACATGTGGGTGCTTTTCTCTAGATGTTTGGGTGGGAGGGTTCTTGACATTTTAAATTAGTATTTCATTTCAGCAGTGTCTGCAAGAAATTTCTGTAAAAGTTAATAGAGCAGATGTGGGTCATCAAAAATCTATCTTTCTGAATAAAAATTCTGACTTGTTCTGAATATCCTTTCATCACTGAACAAATTTTGAATGTGTTAAAGGAAAATGAAATGCTGTCAGTTTTACTGCTGTAACCGGGGGGTTCCATTGACATACAGGAGTGCTAGGCATGCTCTATGTTTTAAGTTGTCCAGTTCAGGGAGTTTCATTAGAATTGTATTTATTTATTTCCAGTCTGCTCAATTATTACCATTTGTGCATCCATTTTTTATTTTTTTGCACACCTAGAGATGCCCCATTTAAGTAAACATCATGCAGGACCACACAGTGTAAGCAGGTGACTTGTGTGACAATATGAAATGTTGAAAATTAACTCAGTGGTGTACAGCTGTCTAAAATTGACCTGATAAAGGTATTGAGATAAAGAGAAAGTAATGGGTGGCATCCAATGTTCCCACTCCAAATGCCAGTTCCAGCAATGCCTTCAACAAACTCCATTGTGCTTTTACTTTTGTGAATAAAAGCTTATTGCAATTCGCATCTTGAGTCCTTTTCCTGACCTGTGGATGAAGCTGCATTCCTGACAGCCCCTTAACATTGTAGAGTGGAAGTATTGGTTGGCACCCAATGTTATTACAGAGAAAAGGCATACAGAAAGATCACACACCCACACCCACGATCTATTCCTTACATTTATATACCACTTTTTACTCTAAGCAGGTCAAGGTTCTACCCCCCCCCCTGTATATCTTCACAACAAACCTCTGAGGGGAGGTTGGGTTGAGTGTGGTTGTCCCAAAATCACCCAGTGAGCTTCATGGTTGAGAGGGAATTCGAACCCTTGCCTCCCAGATTGTATTTATGACAGAGTTCAGAGAGAAAGAACTTTTTTCTTCTGCCATTATGTTTGAGGAGTGTGATGAATGCTAACGGTAGATTAAAAATTACCAAAACCTAGCAACAAATTATTTTTGTGTATATAAAAGTATTTTGTACGTATAAAGTAAGTGAATCGCTGTGTGTGTGTGTGTGTGTGTGTGTGTGAGAGAGAGAGAGAGAGAGAGAGAGAGAGAGAGACCAGGGCTCTAAATAATGTTATTTGGAAAGTGCTAGCTCTTGCAATTGGTGTATATACCTTCCTTGACAAACTATTATTGTTAAGCTTGAAGTTCTGACCAGCTTGTTCTTTGGTATTTAATACTAGCTGGTTTCCTTGTAGAAATCAAAACCCACAAATGCTTGATGAAGGGAGACTCACTGCTAGGATTCTAATAATACATTAGTCCTAGTTATAGACCTGCACAAGTGATGTGGTTAGAATCCTGCACCTAGTTAAGTGTGCATAGGTTTCAATCTTCATTGAGCTTTCATCGAGGTTTCAAGTACATATAAATAAACTTGGGGTAGCAGCTGCTGTGTTGAATTTCTATAATACACTGTAGATAAAGTATGTCTTGTGGCATTTTGATAATTTTAGAATGGATTGCCATGATGAAACAGAGCACGTAAATATCAACAACTGTACGGTTCTAATCTTGTTGAGAAATGCTTGTTGCATCTCATGTAGACGTAACTGCAGTGGAAGTCTTATCATTTTGTGTAATTATTCGGTAATCAGTTTCTGTATGACTTTGTATTTCTATACTGTTAATGAAAAAAATGTTTCTGTAAATATTTTTACAGAACACTGGGTGCCAAAGAAAAACGTTTTCATAGAAGTCTTCATAAAGTAAGTTGAATTTCTACTGTGGGATTGCATATTTATGTTTCTTGGTTTAGCTCTTAACTGTGTTGCAAAACTAAGTAAAGAACTAGTAAATTTGTTTCTTCATAATGAAGAAGAGCAATTTTCTGTCCTGGTCATAAAGTTTCAAAATGACAGCCTGAGAGAATATGAAATTCACCTCTATCGTCAAAGATGACAAAAACCGAGAACTCGTCACATAGAATAGTTTTACTATATTTACCTTTATAGACAGGAAAGATACACACTTCATTTATTTTCTCAGGTAGTGCACAGACCAGAGGCCACTTTGAACACGGGTGAAGCTGCTAGCATGTTTAAGGAGTTACTTACTGTACCTCTGCATATTGCCTGAACTACGTGTTTTATCCAACACTGCAGTACTGTTTGTGCAACAAGCACCTGTGTGTGCAAAGGAATGTCCCATTCATCTCTTGCAGTCCCTTGTGTGTCCTCAAAATCTGCTCTGGAGGGTAGGGGGATGCCCTCCCCCAACAGATTTGGGGAGAGGGAGGAAGAGAGGAAAGAAAGGGAAGTCACAGAACATGATTGGAAATCCGCTTGTGGCATTGGATATAACCCTGTGACCACTGTTAACAATCTGACTACATAAACAACCTGTGGCTGCTACTCTTGGACTTGTATGCATTAGAGAGAGGGTAGCATCTGTAATGTTTGTTTCAGTAAGGAACTGGGGAGAAACTCAATTCAGATCTCATTGGAAGCCAAATCTATCAAATTTGTACTTCTGAAACAATATGAGAACTGAAACACAACTATCCATTGAAATTCGCAATTATTCAAATTTTGCTATGCAGTTTGTCAACCAAACAGTTTACAAAAATGCATATAGTGTGTATAAAAATGAATACATTGGTGAAAATAACACATAAACATGCATTATATTAGAGAAAGCTGCTTGCAAAAACATGTCAAACTGCATATAAAAATGTGTTAGGAAAAAATCCGCACTAAAATCCTGATGAATTTTCATGCATTCCCTCCACCCCCAAATTTTATTTGCAAATTGCTGCAAAGTGTTGGTAACTAAATGTAAGCTTAGGGAAAATGAGAAACCGAAAAAAGCAAATCTGGCAGATCCTTCTGTCCTTCGTTTCAGTGTTGGTGCCGCTGGTGCAGTCATTTATATATTTAAAACACTTTTATGCTATACCAGTTGTTTCACAATACAAATATAACAGTAAAACAACACGTTGTTGTTGTTGTTTAGTCGTTTAGTCGTGTCCGACTCTTTGTGACCCCATGGACCAGAGCACGCCAGGCACTCCTGTCTTCCACTGCCTCCCGCAGTTTGGTCAGGCTCATGTTTGTAACTTCGAGAACACTGTCCAACCATCTCGTCCTCTGTCGTCCCCTTCTCCTTGTGCCCTTCATCTTTCCCAACATCAGGGTCTTTTCCAGGGAGTCTTCTCTTCTCATCAGGTGGTCAAAGTATTGGAGTCTCAGCTTCAGGATCTGTCCTTCCAGTGAGCACTCAGGGCTGATTTCCTTCAGAATGGATAGGTTTGATCTTCTTGCAGTCCATGGGACTCTCAAGAGTCTCCTCCAGCACCATAATTGAAAAGCATCAGAACAACACAGGGAGGGGATAATCCTTTCTTTGCACAGTCAAGGAGGCAAGGAAAGGGATGCACAAGGCTAGGCTCTACTTCCAATATCAAATCACATATAGGACTGAAGGTGCTGCCTTATACCGGGTCACACTATTTTGAACCTGGGACCTTCTGCAGCTAAAGCATGGCCTCTGTGACCAGGTTATGGACTTTGAGTGTGGGAGAGTGACCAAGACCTGTAGTTTTTATATTACTTCAAACAGTGTTTTTCAGCACAGGAAAATACCGCTTTTTCCCTTTTCGATTTGAGTAATACGTCAACAGGTAATGGGTAAATGTTGACGCACAAGTGTGGGAACTAGAGGTAGAACTTGAACTCATATCTTGTATACTGCTGTTAGTGGAACCATTTTCTTTATTTTTTGCTCTGCTAGTAGAATTAGTGTTTTCATATGGGATCGCAGTAGTTTTGTACATAGGCTTGTTTTATGGCATCATATTTGCTCTCTCCACTACACAAGCACCATGTGTACAGTTTTAATGTCCACTGCACCTGGAAAGTAGGCTTTATAACTATGCGGAAAGTCCCCTCAGCCTTTAATCAGCAGTTTTCCATATCTAAATCTGAAATACAGAAGCTGAAATCATTAGTCATTCAGTGAAGAAATGAATAATAGAAACTGCAAGAATAATGTGGAAGAAGTTTCATCTAATTGAGAAAGTAGGTGATGCCCAAATTTGTGTTGCTTCGCTCTTTGTGAAGTAGCAGTTTCAATATCAGAATCAGGCCAGTCTTGCTGTGTCAAGATATAAGCTATGTGTACAAAACAAAAAATTGGAGTATTTGATACCAAACTCTGTAGATTGGACTGCAATCCTGTGTATACCCACCTACAACTAAGGCCCATTCAATACTTCAGGATGTCCAATACATATGCATAGGGTTGTGTAGTAACTTTCGGCTCTTGTTTTAATTGAGATAAGCAATTGGATGTTAGAGATCAAAGACCTGAACCCATTTGTGTATGTGTCTGTTCCTTTAAATTTGTGGAACTTGGATTCCTTTAATTGGCTCAAGGGATTTCTACAGGGGGAAGGGCAAATAAAGAAAGTATAACAAGTATTCTGGTGACTGAGAGGTGGTAAGTCTTGACTTCTGAGAAACTGAGAAATCAGGTTTGCCCCTCTCTTGTTCATCATTGGGGTGACTTCACATCCAAACATCTTTCTGTTTGCAGCTGAAGTTACTCTTGTTTCCTAACCTCCCTTCACCCTCTCCAGGCCTTAATTAGTTGCACTTTTATTCATTCATTTAGAAAGGTGAAAAATTGCTGCTGTTAAGGTTTCCTCCATGTCCTGTGAGTTAAAGAGTTAAAAATTGAAAGAAAAATACCTTCTTAAAGGCTCATAAGATGTGCTTGTTAAGGGAATCAGTCCTTGGAATAAAATACGTCTTCCAGTATAATGGATAGTCAGATTATGAGAAGGCCACAGCAGGATATGGACAAAAAATAACCTTCCACTGCTTGTCACCCTGCAACTGATACTCAGAGGAATATTCCTTCTCAACCTGGAGGTTCTGTTTAGCTGATTTGCCTAATGCCTTTGGACAACAACCATAACTAAGGAAAGGTGTTTTTCAGCATTAATAAAAAAGTTTGCAAAAAATGTGCGTGGATTAGGTTCAGTGGTGATCTAGTTGACAAAGCAAGCACAGTGATGCCCTGTTGAGCCTGTGTATAAGATCCTTGCAGATGGGAGATTTGAATTAATTGTAATCAATAGGTGCATTTTCCTGAGTCATAACAAAAGTTCTGTAATTGTCAGTGAGGGAAGATAACAGTGATTTGCTGTCCAAATCACAAGCTGTGTCATAACACTATAATAACACTACTTGCAGGTACAGTTTCAAAATGCTGTGGCATTTTTCTCACTTACGCCTTGAACTCGAGCTATTCCCCCCCCCTTTTTTTAAATATGACACTGTCTGCTCATTTTCCTTTTGAGCACTGGGTCCCACCTTCGAACTCTGCAAATTAAGCATGCATTCAAAAGCCCCATTCTATTTGGAATTTCATGAAGAAGAATTATAAATGCTGATCATCAGTTGTATTAATAGCAGAACCCCTTTTAACCACAAAGTATCTAGGAATTGACTTATTACCAAAATAAAAACCATTGCACACCCCAGCTGCTTCTTCCCTTCTTAATTTCCAGCAATTAATTTATTGCCAAAATAAAAGCACTCCACACCCCAGCTTTTTCTCCCCAATTAATTTATTAGCCAAATAAAATCAGTGAACACCTCAGCTATTTCTCCCCTCTCAAAATCCAGCAATTCATTTATTAACAGGAAATCATTGCAACTCCCAGCCCTTTCTTCCCCTTCCCCTTTTTCGTTTCCAGTCCAGTAATTAATTTCCTATAACAAGTTTTATTTATAATTTCTATTGCTTTTTTTATTAGCGTGCTACATTTCTGACCCCATTAATGCTGGAGAGCCAAGCTGGAATAGTGGCTAGAGAGTTGGGCTTGGATGTGTTAAATTCAGGCACAAATCCGAGCTTGGTTAGGGAGAATACTGGATGGCTTTGGGCAAGCCATCTCTCATGTATACTTTTGTCCACCTCCCCAACTTCACAGGCCTGTAGGCTTCTTCTATGAAGTACTGAGTGCTTTGGCAGATGGATGGAATACAAATACCATGAACCATAGCCACACTGTGAGGTGCTTTGGTGGTGTGCAGGTCACTCAGTGGCTGTCCAAGCAAAGAAGGATAGATTGTGCTGTTATCAAGTTTTCAGTAATGAAAGCTTCTAGGGCTGGAAGCGAGGAACTGTTAAGTGGTGTGTATTAAGACCAAGTGAAAGATGGCTACCATTCGTAGGTTGGTTCCTATAGTTCTTATTTGGGTATTTATTTGTTTTTAAAACCATCCTCCTGATAGTTGTTAACTCAATTTTAAGAACACATTCCAGTGGAAAGAAGCTTCCAGGGAGAAAAGTTAACTGTTAGCTAGCTTTTCCTAAGCTATCTCTTATCTAGGAAGAGTTTTACATGTGCCTCCCAGCTAAGAGTCCCACACAGGTGGCTTCTGATCTAAGCTCTGAAACCACCTTCACAGTTTCACATGGTTCCAACCTGGCAAAGGTATACAATCAAAAGGATAAAGAAACGTTAAAAAAGAAAAATAAGGTGAAACAGTGAATAGGTAAAAAAAAGCAAGCTCAAAATTACAGAGATGGCCTGCCAAGCTCAAAAAGATTTTTTGCTGTTTTGCTGAACTCCACTGGGAAGTATGTAAGTTGCTCGTCGGAGGGCCACAGCCTACTCAGTTCATAAATCATTTGTCTTCAGTGTCATGCTTTCAGTTTTGTATCACTTTCAAAACAGCTTCCACATCCTACCAAG